ACAATAGTGTCAATGAATTGGTGGTCAATATCGCCGATAATCTCGTTAAGACCCGTTGTATGACCAATAGATTTACCATTTATTTGGATAATCAATGCTATAATGCGTTAATTTCTCATTTGATTAAGGCCAATTTTGATATACCCGCTAATTATAAGTTTCTTTGTCTGTAATTTAATTAAATACTCACTTAATATATTAATAAAATTGTTTTATATTTAACTGTTAAGTTTATTAATTATTTTTTAATTCAAACACACCATGATTGAGTGCTATTTTTATTTTAAAAATTTACGATACAATATTTTCTCAACAGTAGACTTAATATTTTTCGTCAAATCTCTCTCTCTCTCTCTCTCTCTCTCTCTCTCTCTCTCACGCGGACCCATTATCTCGCCATCAGTTCCCCTAATTTATTGTCACTTCAATTATTCCACTAATGGATAATTGAATGAATAATTTCTCAATTGCCTCCACAATCCACACCCCATAGCCCACAACACACTACATATACATCTTATTCATCAAAAATGCAGTACAATATTGATAATAAGACCTGATTTTAGTGAATGCAACTTATTTTCATCGATAAATCCCTATTAAAATGAGGTCTTGTATTGAAAGTCGAATTAATCTCTGAATGAAATTAATATTTTATTGGAAAACAATTCATGGATTTCAAGCTTAAAGAAGAGATGGCTTAATAGATAGTACTGACGATTGCATAACACAGTAATATTCATAAACATGTTATTAAAGCTTAACTTTACAAATATGTTTTCCAATAAAAATATAATTAACCAAGAATTTGATTCCAATAGATAATCAATGATCTCGATTATTTGTCCAATTTCACCATCCTTACTCGCTCTATGATTGTCTATTGCATAACTACTCAAACAATTTATGTTTCATAAAATTAATTATTTAAAAGACAAAAACAGTCAACTTTTATTGTCAATAATTTATAACTCGTTTGTAATAAACATTTATTTAAAAGTATAATTTTATTTAAAACCCAATTATAATGAATAAACAACTTTATTAAAAACTTATTTAACACTAACTCGTAATACAAATGATGANATAAACAACTTTATTAAAAACTTATTTAACACTAACTCGTAATACAAATGATGAGAAAAATATAAAACAAGTTACACACAGCGATGCTATGCGTTAACCACAATTCGGGTGATGATCATAGAATAGACTTAGCATTGCCATAGACTCAATATTACCCATAGAGTTATCATTGTCTTTAGACTCGGTATTATCATAGATTTAGCATTGCCCATAGTCTTAGAATTACATATTAAGTTGATCATTACACATGAATATTCATATAACGATACCATTATACAGAGACTTAGCATTACCCATAGACGTACCATTGCCATATACTTAGCATTTGTCCCATAGACTTAACACTGGCACAGACAACACAAGCCCTTAGACATAGCATTGCCCATGAATTGGGGAGGACACATGGAAATTTTTCATTGAAGAGCACGTGTCACCGGTTATATAAAGGTACGAGTATATTGCATGTCACCGGTCTAATATAGTTCATCCGAATACGCGTGTCACCGGTTATAAACGGCCACAACAAATAACGTTTATATACATTACGTACAATGATAATATTAAATTTAAAAGTATATAAAATAAAATGCAACTAATAAATGTAAACAATTAAAGCTTATTTTGAGTTTAAGTAATATTTTTTAATTGAATTGTAATACATTTAATGTTATTATAAACACATTGAATATCAAATTACATAATATATTACTTAAAATATTTTATGAATTATCAGTATATGCCTTATCAGCACAACTTGTACAATAAATAACCATATGGTTATCTTTGCATATCAATTCATCGCAATCACTACATCTTTGAGTACATTTTTTATTAGCATTTCTCGGACAGGCATAACATCGGCTCTGATTAGCATTTGATATTTTTCTTTTCTTTTGTACTGATTGTGTGATAACGTCCGGCGATTTACTAGTGCTTTGAATTGGGTCTGAATTAGTGATTCGTTGAATAATTAAACGTATATCACGATTAATTGTATTAATTGACAATCGATGCAACATTAAATCCATTGATAAATCTCTGCCCAAAGAGTGTAAAAATTCTCGCCGTTTGTGGCTTTCAATTGGCTGTGGATTATGTGATGAATACAAATCTCTGTAAATAATATAACTGTTGACCGCCATAATATCTAATATGCAAAAAAATGCGGCTGTTGGCCAACGCTTAGTTGCACGACCAGTTGAATATGTTGAGCACATTTGGTCTAATGTGTCGACTCCACCCTTTGTCTTATTATAATCTTGTATTATTAATGGTTTTGAACTGAGACTATCAATGGCTTCATCTCTATGCCAAGTACTCAATACCAAAACAGTTTTATTCTTTTTGAAATAATAAGCCAATAAAGTTGTGTTATTGTTGTGTACGTATTCAGTGTAACCTATCTGTTAATTATAGAAATATTTGTAAATATGATAAAATAATTAATACTTATATACTTATAACTATAACAACTTATATATATTTACATAAATTTATGAATAAATAATGTACAATAAAAATGTAAATAAATAATAATTGAATCATATAATAAATTACTCTATAATTGTTTATAATTTTATTTACCGGTCGCTTCTTCTTTTCTAACAAACGTCTGGGAATTTCTTTTTTGTTTTTCTTTAGTGTTCCCAAAATTGTGAGATTATATCTCAATAACTCTTCAGCCAAAGGGAAACTTGTAAACCAGTTATCGCACGTTATATTACGGCCAGTGTTTCTCAGAGGTTTAGTTATATCTAACACTATATTATTTGCAATATTTTTATTTCTTTGGCCATCTAATGGCTTTCCAGTGTAAAGAATAGTATCCCAACAATAAGAATTATTTGCATCACAAATAATAAAAAATTTTAAGCCATATTTAGCCGGCTTATTTGGCATATATTGCTTAAATCCAACTCGACCTCTGAAAGCTCTAAGCATTTCATCGATAAGGCGACAATTCATAGTTTTTGCGGCAATTTTTTCGAAATAAATTAAAAATTTCACTGAAGAGAGCCAATTTATCGCCATTATTTTTACGTGATTCTCGAGAGTTTATGTGATCAAATGTTAGGTTAGCGGTTATGTATTGAAAACGCCTTAATGGCATTACACCTCGAAATATGTCCCGACCTCTTCCGTTTGTATCCCAGAGATCACTAACGTTTTCATGTGATGACTTGTGAACACCAATGAGTAGACATAAACCAATGTATGCTAACATTTCTCTTTCATCAGTTTTATGTGCATAACTTTGATAGGTTTTGACTCTTTCCGTATCACTTAATCTCATTGCAATCTTTTGGTTCGTATATTCAATAATTAATTTTAATATATCATTAGATAGAAACTGACGAAACGTAGAGATAATGTCATGACAATCACTTGCTGACACTTTAGGACCTTCTTTGAATCTGTATATGTTATGTGATGGCGTTTTTGTTGAATTTGATGTGATTTTGTTAACGTCTCCGAGTTGTACTGTTATTATAAATTAAGATCAAAATTTTATTTATTAATTAATTATATATATTCATTATTTATACATTTATTTAATTATTATGATTAGTATTATAATTTATTTCATACCATTATCTCCTGTATTATCATCTGAATCTGAATAATATATAGGCTCTGAATCTGAATCAATGTCAATGTCTGACACACTATTGTGATCACTATCTTCAGTGCAATTTGACTGCATATCGCTGTCATTGTCATCAAAAGTCAATTCATCTAATTGTCCACAAATGTCTTCATTTGATAATGTTTTGCGTGCCATTATTATAGATTATTTATTATTATTTAATAATAAGTTATTATAAACAAACCATTAAGTTAACAAATATTTAACATCAAATTGTTAACACATTTTGTAAACAATAAATAATAGTCATGTGGTTTGTCTGAACACACGTACAATACATTATACTCTACTACCATATAAGGTATGCATTACAGTATAAAACACATATACACATATAATAATATACCAGTAAATATGATTTAGACATCAAAATACGCTTTAGTTGAAATCAATGCTGGCCAATTTATTGGCCACTGTACTATAAATAAACATAATAATTACAATCATCTGATTATATGTGAAGCACTCGTAACCATAGTAATCTAGTCATTGTGATCCACAGTATAACATATTTTACTTTTTTAATGCTGGCCTATTTTTTGGCCACTATACACTAAAAGCATATTTCAAATTATGTTGATAAATAAGATAATTATATTTTAATGAAACGCACATGACACCGGTTATTTTTCATAAAATTAATTAATTAATTAATACACATTTGAACATAATTATATAATGTTACATTATTAAAAGATACGGCTAATGTTGAGGCATATCTATAGTTATATCATGTATAGTTTTGTCAATAATAAGATATTTAATTTTAAACATGAATTGGCCTAATAATCGGCCACAGTACAGAGGAAGGGTTAAACCTATGTAACACATAGGCTATGTCATAGACTTAAACTGTAATCCCATAGAAACTCATTGAAAAGTTTTATTATAGGTTTAACATTGCCTATTAGATACCCATGTTAAGTCTATGTCATAGGATTAACATGCAATCCCATGTTAAATCCCATAGGTGGGGTCGAGAGGGGGAGGAGGCCGAACGATTCTATAAACCACATCATTCATCAATTTATATAAATTTTAGTAAAAAATAGTTTTTCAAAGTTGTGCCACAAATACGTTATTTGTGTTGAACTGTAAACCAACACAAAAGCACAACAGAGACAGAGAGACAGCAAACATGTGTTGCCGTCTATTGTCCGCCAAATAATCGACGAAAACGTGATTTCAATCACAATATTAAATATCAGTGAATTTGTCGTTCAATTGAAGCCATAATTAGCGGCCGAAGAGTTTGCCCTCAGGAGTGATGGACGACGAGGCGGACACCTATAAGCTGTGGCGCATCCGTAAGACTATTATGCAGGTATTGTATCGTATATGGGATCAGTTGTCTTCAGCGCTTACTCATTGCCTTTCTCTCGCGTTTTGCCGGCAGTTGTGTCACGACAGGGGATATCTCGTCACTCAGGAGGAATTGGACCAAACGTTGGATCAATTCATCCTCTGCATACCTCTGTTTGGGTCCATACGCAACCCTTTCGCTAACCGTCTGTTAAACTTCTGTGCAATCAGATATTCACTACAGAACATTTTGATTAGCGAAAGACATCCGGCGAGAAGTGATCTGATAGTACTGGTGGCACACAATGACGACCCCACAGGTCTGTCACCACGCGATTTGGCCGCACATTAGTTGCCACTAATTTGATTGTTTTGATACCACTTTACAGATCAGATGTTTGTCTTCTTTCCGGATGAGCCGAAGATTGGCATAAAGACAGTGAAGAACTATTGCCAACGAATGCAAGAGGAGAACATTAGTAGGGCTTGTATTGTAGTTCAGGTGGGAATGACTCCATCGGCCAAACAGGCGCTCACAGATATGGCCCCGAAGTATATTCTCGAACAGTTCCTCGAATCGGAACTACTCATCAATATTACCGAACACGAGGTCTGAATTGTCATATTGTTTGCCACAAACTCTTGTCAATTAAATAACGAGTCAATGAAACGTACAGTTAGTTCCCGAACACGTGGTTCTGACGCCCGAAGAGAAGGCGGAACTGTTGGCCAGATATAAGCTGAAAGAGAATCAATTGATGCGAATCCAAGCGAGTGATCCGGTGGCCCGTTATTTTGGCCTCAAGAGAGGACAAGTGGTCAAAA